GCCGGTCCCCTCGGATGATTTCGAGATGTCCATCTCGATTCCACATAAATAGTTTCGATGAGCCGTCGAAGGTACAGCCTCCCACTCCATGGATCCATTCTCTACCAAGTAGTGCATTAAAGTCTGGCGTGCGATTGGACCACAACAAATACAAGTAGGCCTTGAGTAAGTACCTACCTTCACGTCTAAAGCGATCATACCCTCTCGATCCCGATGTTTTTCCGCCGAAATCGGAAATCATAATGTCGTGTTTGACTAGATCTTTAAGCTCGATGCCAAACCTCTTCAAGCATGGAGATTGGCAATATGTTTATCGGCCGCGCCACCATCGATAAGGACCTTGTTCACCATTTGTCCTTGGATCTCGATGTTTAATAGTAAAGGCTTCAAGTGGAACCTCATTTCTTCGGATGGAGGGTCGATGAAGGCAGCGATCTCTATGAGGTATTTCGCACGATGCCCGAGTTACCCATGTCACCTTTGGCCTTATGTTTTCCGAATAGAAGTCATCTTCTCGATTAACATCACTCGTTCTTGATATTCCTTGTATTCGTTGACATATTCCGCGGTAATATCGATATCACTCCGATTTGATGTTCGCTCCAGCTTGCCTTCATTCTTGTCATCGAAGAATTCCCTTGAATATTGGCTTTCCATAGGTACAATATTCTCTTCAAAGTTTCTATAATTACTCCAGGAAGTGGATCCTTCCTCCTCTTCTCCAGTGGCCTTCCTCGAATCTTCTTGGGAATGTTGGGAATCCAGTGTTTGATCCTTCATCGTATGATAGTCTCTCAAAGACATCACTACTTTGAAGTCTTCCTCTTCCTCCTCGAGAAGGATACATCTCTCTTCTAACCCATTGCCTTTGATTCCCGCTAACACCGTAACCAACAGCATTTCGTTGACTTTCTTCGATAGTTGGTCGGGCCGTCTCGCTCCACTTTATCATTTTTCCTTATGTTTTGACTCTCGATCTTCTTTGTTTGTTCAATTTTGAAAGCTTTGGCAACCGATCTATCGAAAACCGCACCGCACCGTGGGCATAGCGACACGTCTTCGTCTTTCTCTTTCTTCCTATTCAAAAATTCAACGAGAGAGTCTCCTCGCTCGAGGGTATATCTCTTTCTCAAATTCTTTTTCGAATTCGCTCAAGTCGAACTCCATATCTTCCTCCGATACGTCCATTCTCGATATGCTTGGGATCGATGTCTTCGCGAACATCGACCATGCCTATGAAGGTGGCATTCATCGCCTAACGTCATCCTTCATCTCAGCTTGGGATTCAATATATCCCACTTGGACTTCGAACCGACTCGTGTCCACTTTCATCGCTGTCTCCCCAAACTTCAGCCTTCCTTGGTCGATTGCATCTTGAACCGTGTTCCCGAAATGTATACAATTGTTAGTCCAAGTGTCCATAAATATTATGAAATTTACAATATTTTCGACCACCCCTTTGTTCTCGTGAAGTGCGCTTGTGATCTTCGCTTAACTTAATCTGTTTATCTTTTAGTAGAATGTCGAAGATCTTATCTCGCTTTTGTTACATCGAAAGTATAGGTTCGATTTGCCATTTTATCTTTCACTTCATTCTTTTGCAACAATTTACAAGTATATGGAGCTCCTACTTTGAGCTCGCTATATTCACTTTCTCATCAACATTTTCCTCGATATCATTTTCTCGTTGAGGGATCTACTTCATACACATCATTTATATAGGCTATTCTTTCTTTTTTCACAGTGTTTCTCAAATTTCTTGTGCCTTTGTTTCTCATACTCGATTTGTTCCACTCTCCTCACTTTATCGCCTAACCGAGCCATGTCATTTAATGGCAAATTTACCAACTTTTTCCTAATCGAGAATTCTAAACTCGCGTAAGCCATCCCGACTAATTCGTATTCGTGAATTTGAGTAAAACATCTTGATTTCATTTGTCTAAATCGATTCAGATAATCATCTATGTTTTCATGATTATATCGTTTTATGTTCATCAAATCAATGAGACTTACTTGAGTTTCTCCTCTAAAGAATTGTTCATGGAAATTTCTTTCTAACTCGCAACCAATTATATATCGAATTGGGTGGCAATGAAGTAAACCAAGTGAAAGCATTCTTAGTCAAGGAACTAGGGAAATACTTCATTTTTAACTCTTCACTCATTGCTAAGTCCCCGCACTCTATCTCGATATCGAGCTACATGCTCGATAGTTGATTCACCAACTTCTCCAGCAAATTTAGTGAATTTGGGTACTTTGTATCCTCGAGGCAATTCTGTCTCGAGAATCGCATTTGGAAAAGGAGACACAAAATATGTCTGATTGGGTGGTCTTAAATCCGTCCCTTGGAAATTCATCCTTTGTCCTAACATGTGATTATATTGCGTATTATTCTGATTATGAATATTTTGAAATCCCTCATTCAGATTTCCGTCAATATCATTCCTCACATGTTGATATTCGTTCCCCATTTGCTGATATTGATCATTGTTCCGATTCCTTCTTAATAAATAAAGGGGATTAATATTCTGATTGGCATGATTCTCCATCCTCGTTTGTCGAGGTACAGCCAATGCGTCTCTAATTCGAGACATTTGATCCGCTAATATCTCGAAACTAGCAGTAGTATTTTGAACTAATGGGTTTAAGACCGTAGTCAACTCGCCGTGATAACATATTCACCATTTCAAAATTACTCTCATCCATTTGTTGTCTAAGTATTCCTAGGGAGTTACCGGAAATCCCAAGATTAGTATTTTCGATATTCTCGAAATTAGATCGATGATAGTCCCTATCAAATGCATATCTCCCATGATCGAGATTCCCCTAGGATCTAGATTTGGAGGTGTCTCGTTGTATCCCTAAGTTTGGTCCATTCCCCGAATTTTGTGATATCACCGAATTTTGAGATGCCCCTAAATGTGTAGATACTCCAAAGTTTTCGTGGCATGCCTAGTGGTTTGAAATGTGCCTACATTTGGAGGCATTCCTAAGTCGTATCGTGAATTTCTATGTATCGATGAAGTGTCAGCTCCATTCATGTTATTGGGTAAAAACCAGGTGGTCTTACACTAGTATATGGCCCCGCATATGTGGTTATGGGGTTTCCCATAGTTTGCATATTATTTGATATTGCTATACTAGACCCTACATGGGTGTTTGCCAATGTACCTGGATTTTGTTCATTACTTGTCGGTATCGACGTGCTCACAGCTTGTCGACACTACGTGCATACTCCCATTATGTCCTTGTCCCCCAGCATTTGGTGGGAGCACACCACTTAGACCCTCATTGTTATTCTGACTACTTGATGAATTCTGACTCATTCTTATAACTCTCCCACTTCTTAATCTCATACACTCTCGAACTAACCTCTTTTGTGTTTTTTCAACACAAGTCCCACCGGGCGTGCCAATTTGTTTCTGGTGGAATTTTGATCGATTTCGATCCTAAGGGTATTTTGGTCCTAATCGAAATTCTACCATGTAAGTTCTTTTTTACTTAGGCTAGCAATTTGATTTTCAATCGAAAATGTGTATGAGAGTCAAAAACTATAAGTATCGAGAAATACTATTTTTGGTATTTTATGTCTAAAATGCTCGAATCAAACAAAGCAGTAAAGTATCGAATCGAGAAAAGAGTATTAAATTGCAAGAAAATGCGAAAACCCCAAATTTGCAAGAAATTAAGTTTGCAAGAGAAATAAAGGACAGGAAATGGAAATGTGCGGGAAATGTAAATTGCTAAAACCCATTAAGATTGCATAAAAAGTAAATAACAGGAAATCGAAATGACATTGAATGTAGTATACAAGAATATGAAATTGCTCGAATTGAAATGGCTCGAAAGTAAATTACCAAGGAAAATAAAGAAAGCGATAAATGTACTCCGTGAGCAGGAAATCCAGATCGCCGTAAACTTCATGGTGTTCGTCGTTCCTCCGTAGACGTTTTCACCGCCGATTCTCGCGCTCCGCCAATTTTTGCTCCCCTTGTTCCTTCCTTCTTTGCTCTATTTATAGGGCATCCTTCAAGCCTTCTAAGAGCAGTTAATACGATCGCTACCACGTTCTACGTGCGTATGGCGCTTTATCTTCTAGTTTCCCACGATCTCACGATCTCCAACTTTTACCCATGATTTCAAAACCGCTCTCTATACGTGCATTCGACTTACTTCCCTTCACGATTTGGCCAAAATCTCGATGTCCCCATTGGCTTTCTTTATTCTCGATTCTATATCTTTCGAGAACTTCGAATCGCTCACGATTCCTTTTTAATCCTGATCTTATATGACTTAGTTTTTATTTGACAACAATCATTTGATTACAATTCATTCGATTCTCGATTGTGTTTCTCGATGCTATATGCTACGTATTTCTAATTAGACATCGAATGAACTTTTGTTTATCTTATCGAGTCATATTTCTTCCCTTCGATTTCGATCGCTTTTCTCGATTTGCTACTAACAATTACATAATTTAAAAATTATTTTTTAATTATAATCACTACATTATTCTCTTTAATGAAACAATTTAATCAACCATTAAAACTAAATTGATAATTTTTTCTATTAATAGAAAATCAAATCCTCATCTTCTCACACTCTTCACTCTAAACATTTTCAATATAAAGTTTATTTTTTCAGCTAGATGTGCATTTTCCATCTTATCGAATGAACCACAATATCCTTAGAGTGTTATTTTCTTCTTACTTATTGGGTCGACATAGTTACTTCTTCTTCTTTTTTTTCCTTTTAAATTTAATCTATTTTTTTGTTTTTGTCTCTAAATTTTAACAATATTTTTTAAAAAAGTTATCATTAAATAAATTCAAAAAATCAAATCATTCATTCTAAATTTAAAATATAATCAATAATAAATTTAAATATATTCATTTTTCATAATTTTTAATTATATAAAATAAACATTTTTTTAAAATACTTATAAAATATAATAGATTTTCTTTCCATCTGAGAATAAAATAAAAAATTTTGAATTTGTGATGGTTTATTTTCATCCACATCGTTGTCGAGTAATTGTAAAACCTGATAATAAGCGAAAACTTCACGAGGAGAATGTTTCTCTGAATCGAAACCCCTGCTTCACCGACCCACTTCAGCGAAAGGTCATTCTCCATTTTCTTCCGTTCAAATTTCACTTTCTTTCTGTTTTCCTTTAACTTCTGAATTTTTTAGTATCTGTCGTTCTTCCCTGTTTGGTCGATGAGTTTTTGTTATTTTCTTTCATTTATTATTGGAATTAGACTAGTGATATTGTAAAAAGCCCTCGATTAGGTGCTGACCGTATCAAGGCCAAAGAATCAGGGCATAGCCAGATAGACTTGGTTTGGTAGTCGTAAAATTTTTATCCTGTTTGGACAAGCTTCTCCTACTAGAAGAGAAAATTAAAGAAAAAAAAAATTCTCCATAAGCTAAAATTAGTTGTAGGAGAGAGCTTATAGTTTATGCATAATCTAATTTCAAGTTTTTCTCTATTTCTTTATTTCTCGTGGAAGTGGTTCTGATAAAACTTGTCCAACGATACTCTTAGAAAAGTTGATGCATAAAAGCTAATTTTATGTTTTCCTCTTTTTTCTACTGTATAATATTTCTTTATTTACAATGTTTAATGGCGAAAAAAAAAATAGTAGCAATGATAATTCAATTGAAAGGTGTATTGGAATTTTGCTCAACTGGTTGCTATGACCATAGAGATTATTTCTGATGATACTCTGACCATCTGACCATATAGCACGCATTTGTGTCTTATCGACTCTCTCCTTGTCTTGGAAATGGTTAGGCTTTTATATGATTTTTGTTTAAATTTATATCAGTGTGTTTGGATTGACTATAGACCATCTAAATGATAACACAAGAAAGCCAAGGAGACAGTCCTCTTTTTTGTCAATTTTATCTTCGTCATCTAGGTATCTCTGCCTGAGGAATTTAATTTTCTATTTTTTTTTATTTGGGTGCAATTGGAGTTATTTGTTGATAGGTGACCTGTGTAGTTTACTTCACTTAGTAAGAAGAGACTTTTATTGGTGTTTGTTTACAATCAGAACTATTTAAAAATTTTGTTAGTTTTTGTGTGATTTATCCAATGGTGGCTTTTGGACAAGGAATGTTTGAATATTGCTGGGAAATTGGGATGGGAATAAAAGTTTCTTATATTTCGCAGAGTAGAATAAAAATACTTCTAGGGCAAGAATCATATTGCAGATAACTCATTCCAGTAAAGTAGTGCCTTTAAGAATGAAAGGGTTTTTTACCAAGTGCCACTTCTATATTTTTGAGTGGACCTAGTGCCACTTAAATAATGGGTATATTGGAAATGAATGAGTATACTGGTGGCATAAATCCCAGTAAGTATAAACTGTGAACTTCTGAAATATATAAATTCAGATAATTCATGCTCACTTAAAGTCAATTTTCATATTGTGCTTCAAGCTCAATAGTTTTGGTTAGTTGTTTGACAAGAAAATGTTTTATGATGTGAACTGTTTTCATGGAAATAGTCAACTAATTTGATATCTTAGTTGAGTAGATATATTTCATGGTTAACTAAATTGTCTTTTCAGAAACTAGATTAAAATCCTAAGAATTTACAGTTGCCTTGTTATTAATTCATGTTTGGCTGTCTTGGTTTGTATTTCAGCATTTCAGCTTACTGCACTGGTATTTAAGCTGAGTGATTTGTTAAAATTGAAAAAACTAGCTAAATAATTTAGATTACTATTCAATGATATTGCCTAATGAGATATATATTAACCAACTGCTTGTACGTGTACTTATTGATCTGATTCAGTGCTATTTTAGTACAATGATACCAGTTTCATATAAAAGATTTCCCTTTTGTTTCCTTCTGTTTTTACTTTCTGTTATTGAATAATACAAACAGACCCTGATTTTGCATGTGCATTATTATTCCTTTTGGATAGAGACCAGAAAGAAAAAAGGAACAATGCAGGGGGTTTTGTATTATACAATAAGAAAAAGTAAATACAGAAGGAAACCGATCCTACTGCCACATATATCCCAATACTTATTTCTCGCATTTGGCAATTCAGTTACACCTACTGCCTCATCATCTCCTCTTTTCACACCCCAGTTCCTCCTAGTATACACTCTCCAAATCTTGGGCCTGCGTATGAGTCAAGGCCCTCACTCCCAACTCTATCAGATTGTCTTAGCAAATAGTGCCATTCTTTAAACCTTCACAACTTTACTGGGTTACTCTGAAATCTGCCTAAGCTTGTTGGTTGCATGTATTACACTTGAAGTACATCTTCCATTGTTCCCTTTTTTGCTTGTTCAGAGTTGCTGAGAAAAGAAAATGTAAGTGAAACTAAAAATAGATTTGAATTGTAGTTTTATTTTATCATGGAACATCTGGTGTAAGGAAATGTGTCCCAATCTCATTTTTGAGAACGGTACTATCTGAATAGTCTTTGGTAGCAGAGGTCCTGCAATTCTCTTTGCTCAGGTCTCATGAATAACCCTTTTATTTATTTTTCATTTTTTTCTTTTAAATTGTTAGACTTACACGCTCTCTTCTTAAAGAGGCATCCATGATGTATGCTTTCTTATGATATTACTCTCTCACTCCAACAGTCCACAATTTATTGATTTTTGGAGGATAACTGTGTTTGCAATTAACACTTTGCTATGTCTTAACCTCAGTGCAAGAGAACAAAGAGCATGAAACCCTTCAGAGGTCAGCAGCCAAGAATGAATGCAGGAATGGCTTCATTAACTCACGTCCATTATAAAGTACATACCTCAACATTTGGAAGAGTGCATTCTAGAAACCCAGGAGCCGCCTTTCCTAGTATTCACATTAACCAATCCCGAGTATGCTGCACAAAGTTAACCCCATGGGAGTCATCACCCGTCACATATGCTCCTACTGATAATCAAAGTGATAAGCTTTTGCCTCAAAGTGCCAATATATTTGAAACTCTTGAATCTAGTAAAACAGCTGACTCATCAACAGCAAATGCTGAAGGGGTAGTAGAGACAAGATCTCAACCAGGCCTGGAGCTTCAGCTTTTCAAATGGCCATTGTGGCTTCTGGGCCCTTCTGTTCTCCTTGCAACGGGGATGGTCCCAACACTGTGGTTACCAATATCTTCAATCTTTCTCGGCCCCAATATAGCCAGTCTACTTTCCTTAATTGGACTTGATTGCTTATTTAACCTTGGTGCAACCCTTTTTCTCCTTATGGCTGACGCATGTTCACGGCCAAAGTATCCAACAGAAGACTGCAAAAGCAAGGCTCCCTTCAGTTATCAGTTCTGGAACGTTGTTGCAACTCTTACTGGATTTATTATCCCATCTTTGTTGATGTTTGTATCTCAGAAGGGCTTTCTCCAACCTCAACTACCTTTCATCCCTTTTGCAGTTCTACTCGGTCCCTATCTTCTTCTTTTGTCAGTACAGTTTCTGACTGAGGTGTTGACTTGGCATTGGCAATCTCCAGTCTGGCTTGTTACCCCTGTCATTTATGAGTCTTACCGGATCTTGCAACTAATGAGGGGATTAAAGCTTGGGGTTGAGCTCAGTGCACCAGCATGGATGATGCATACAATTAGGGGGCTGGTTTGCTGGTGGGTGCTAATTCTCGGTCTCCAGTTGATGAGGGTTGCTTGGTTTGCTGGGGTAATTGCGCAAGCTCAAAAGCAGCAACAGTCATACGACTAGTGCTAATGATTATTAGTGATTAATACCATTGTAAAATATACAAATTATAAATTAAGTAGATGTGGTTTAAGTTTTAGTTAGGGGTGTTTTCCATCCCACCCATATAACATATTGATATTGGTTTACATAATATATACCACACAGGTACTTAGATATATACTTGATCACTGTACTGTATGCCTTGTCACTGTTTGCTTTTGTTTGTGTTATCTTCAATTTGTGAACAAATTGGTTTCTGTTTTGTGCCTCAATTTATGAAGATGTTAAAATTATACAGTGGTAGGTTCAAGGAAAACTTATTTATAATTTTTTGATAAATTATAGGTAATAATATAACTTGTATTAATTAGGTATTATTTTTGTATTTTCAAGGTAGAATTTATTATCCATGATGATGATATCTAGATTGAGTCTAAAATGTATTCCTTTCTCTGATAAATGACAGATCAGCCTTGTCTGTATATGTTATTGGTGTATCCCAGTCTTTCTTCCTGTTAATCACTAATCTGCTTCTTAATCAGAATCTTGATAAAGAACAGAACATTTAACAAGTGATTTTTGTTTTTGGTCTTAAAGGTGTGAGTATAAAAATTCATGCATAGATAGGAGCGACAAGAAACTGTGAACCGTGAATTCTAAGCTGGTTGTTTTTGTGAACTGTTAACATCTGGGTCTTACACTCTACAGAACTCCTTTTTATCTTTTAAGTTTAAAGGATTTGCGTTTTACTTTGGTATTGTGCTGAATTACGTAGGACAAATGCTTTCTAAATATAGAAGGGACCACCAAATTTTAGAAATCATAAAGCTATTTTTAAAAATTGTAATAAAACAAAGGTTAAGTCTTTGTTTTATTTTTATTGTTATTTTGGGGGCAAACATTGTGATGTTCATACTTGCTTTTGGTATGATCAAAAGTCTAAAAATTATTATTGGTTAGACGGCATCCAAAGTACACCACATGATATAGGACAGGACAGTTGTTGAATATATCAATGATTTATCGGAAAGTTATGACTTTCGACAAACAATTCAAGTAGAAAAGTCACAATGTTATGTTATTTTATCATAGATCCCAAATTCTCTTCCCATCAATGATCATGATGCAATTGTTTTTTGAAGGCTCAATATTTTCTTGAAAATCTCCACTTTGGAGTAATTGTATGATGGTGAAATTGCTGAACAAGTGTTTCTACTATCTTATGCTTACTTGATTTTGATAATCTTTCCCAAATTTGAATAGGAGAATTTGAATTTTGTTCATGTGTTCTGAATCTTTTCCCAAACCAAAAGAATATCCTTCACAAATGCAACATCTTTTGGAAGTAATATACATGGCTGAAGATTGGTTTTGGGTAAAATAATCGGCCAATCTAATAAAAAAAATGGTTAAATATTTTATATTTTTTTTAAAATAGATTATATTATTTGTTATTTAGATAGTTTAATATTTTAAAGAATAGAATTAATACTATAAGTTATTTTTATCGAATTATGAAAGTCCATAAAATAAATTCACTGGTAAAAGACATTCAAATATGGAAGTCAGTGTTTTGATAAAAGAGAAAATTAAATAATAAATTCTAAGAAGAAAGTATTTCCGTATTTAAACTGTAAAAAATATATAATAATATCAAATAATAACGAATTTAAGATAATAATATGTATCAAATATAAAATAGTAAGAGATAGTTATGGATACGTTCACTAATAATTAATATTATTATTTAATAATTTTAATTAAATGGGATAGGAGTTCTATTTTATTATATAAAATTCTTCATTTAACTTATAAAAAATTTATGTTAAAAATAATGGTAGATTGAATTCGATTAAATTTGAGGGAATCATAAAATAAGTTAAGTCTTAAGTTTTTTTTTTAATTTGATTCTATCTAATTAACACTCTAATCTGTTGAAAATAAGTTTTATAATCTACAGTGAAGCAAATTATCACATTTGATGAATTATTTAAATAATTTAAAAATGCTGAATATGCAATGGCACGTTTATGAATAAAAAATGGGTGAAAAGTTATAAAATAGTGTAAATTGAAAGCCAAATTGCTTCATTTTGACCCACCCAACACTTCTCACTTCACAACCTTGTTTCTTATATCTTATATATATATATATATATATATATATATATATATATATATATATATATATATATATATATATATATATATATTAAATATGTTTTTTGATTAACTTTTAATTAGTTTTCAGTCTTATATGTTAAAACTTAATAAATTAGTCTTTAAAATTAAATAAAAATATGAATTTAATCATTTATGAGCTTTATAACATTAAAAGAAAGTTATTATAAGGAATGGTTGAAACCATTTATATTTTTAAAAAGGTTAGAGACCAATTGAAAATATAAGAATAAAAGATCATTTAAAAAAAATACAGGATTAATTTTTTTTTCTTTTTTTCCTCTTAAAAAATATTAAATTTTGATTTTTTTTTATTTTCTTTAATTCTCGTCTACCAAACTTTAAAATCAATAGTTTAATTTTTACTATCATTTAATATTTTGGTAATTCTTTAGTAAAATGTTTATTATTAATACTTTTGTAGTTAATCATGTTATTGGTGGGACAAAGTATTTATTAATTTTATTGATAATTAATTTAATAAGAAATTTAATTAATCACTTTTTAATAGAACTATCTATTCAATTATATTTTTTCATTTATAAAACTTGAGTTGAAGCGCCTCTTTGTTGTGAGGGAAAATGAAAAAAAGAAAAAGAAAAATAGAAAAAAAAGAGAAGAAAAAGCAGAAATTACATAAAAAAAAAGAAAATGTTAGGATAAAAACAATCTTAGCACAAGTTTTTTTTTTCCAAAGTGTTACAATTCAACTTCGTAACAGCTTTAGTGGTGCAGATTTTGAAAATTTTATGAAAATTATCAAGTCATGGATGCTAAAAAATAATGCTATTTAGCACAAATTCCTTTTATATAGTTTTTTTCGTAAGCAAATCGTAACATAACCTATTTTGAATTTTTTTATTTTTTTTTAAATGTCAAAAATCGTGTTATGTAACATAAGTTTTTTTTTTCAAAGTTGTGTCATATGACCCGAATTTAATGTAATTTCATGATTTTTATTTTTATTTTCATTATATTTTTTATATGTTAATTTAATTATAAAATAATATTTTTATATTTATCATATTTTAACATCTAAAATTTATAAGTAAAAAAATAGAAATTAAGAATAGTTAAAACAAAAATAAATATATTAATATTAAAAGTGAAATATTATAATATCATTGTCTACATGGATAATTATTATGAAACTCAACATGATAAAATGATATTTGTTTTTAGTTATTTGGATTTGACCGTAGATGTATATCATGATAGACTTTCCTTATTGGTTGCATTGTATAATGGGATTTGGAACGAAACTTGAACTAGTATATGGAGACTAGTAATATTCATTTCATACCGGATGAAATTAATGTTCATAAATTTAGAAAATCTAGTCTAACCTATATACTGGATCAACATATGTGTCAATCTACAAATGACATGAAAAACACATAATAATAACATGTAAGCAATAGTCGAAGAGCTTGAAATTCTCCACAATCACACCACCAATCATGCAATCTGACTTTATACCTTTTTGTTCGTCTACCATATTTTGGGTTTGATAATTCTTGAATTTTAAACTCACAATTTTTTCTATTATATCTTTGAACATGACATATCCTGATATATTGTTTATGTTCTCTGAGCAAGTTAACAATTTCTTTTGGGTACTCATGTCATGCTCGTAACATGTATTTGTTTTCTTTCCACGTTCGACAAACCACAATTTTATTTATTCAAATGTGATTTTGACTAGGACAAATATAGGTAAGGTTTGTGCTCTTTTTAGAATAGAGTTCATGCAGTCAGCTACATTGGTGGTCACATGCTCATATCTTTTTCCACCATCATATACTTGTGTCCATTTTTCCAATAGGATTTGATCCAAGCAATGAGCAACTTGTTGAAACTCTTATTATAAAAGATAATTTAGCTATCAATCTTGGTTGCTTCATCTCATATTCTGAAAAAAAAAAAGTTTCAATTAAAATATAACTCATGTTAATTACTTGTCTTTTCAACTCAACATTACTGAATTTCTTGTTGATGTTTGAAGTTATATGTAGAATACAATATACTAATTGATTTGTGTCTCATCCAACTTGTTCAAATTGTAATGATGTTAATAACGATAGATTGAGAATGAAACGTGAGATGGATAGAAGAGATAAAAATGATAGACTATGAATTAAGCGTGAATCAATTTCATTAATTAAATAATGATACTTATTATTTTATTATTATAGGTTTAAGTAGGGTGTCAAAATAGACTTAGTTTGATAGATCAGTTTGAAAGGTTCAAAAAATAGGTCAGGCTAAGCTAAAATATTTATGGTCTAAATAGAATTAGACTAATTTTAGCCTGATTTATTTAAGTCATAGTCTAAATGGGCTTAGCCTAGGCTAAACCGTAGACTTATAGACTAGCTCGTCTTATAAAATAATAATTATTTTTAAAATAAAATAAAAGTAATATTATTTTATTAAAAAATATATATATAATAAATAAATTTGATAATATTATATATATATATATATATATATATATATATATATATATATATATATACATACATATAAACTTCATTTGCTTTGCTTTTATCATTTTCCTCATGATGGTCTGTCGCCACACTCTTGTTAGTGACTTCTCACATTCCTCTTATCATGTGCACACCTCTAACTATATGTCTCTATCTGTATTCTTTATGTATTCTTGAAACACTTGTTTAAATTATGGAAACTCCATTATGTGCTCCTTGTTAACTCATCTATTAATAGTCGTAATGTCAAGTAATAGTAAGAGGGATAATGTTGAATACAAAGGTAAAGTGTCTAAGAAAACAAAGACCATTACTTCGAAGTGTGGAAAATTGTATACATGTAAAGGAAGTT